TCACCTTAAAAAAAATCCACAAAATTTGTATTTTCATATTTTCTGCTCTAAAATGGGCAATTGTTAAGATGAACTTTTTTGTAGTACTTAATGTATACTATCAAACTTTTAAATATTTCTTACTACTTACGGGGTGGTCATCCTATATATATATATATATATATATATATATATATATATATATATATATATATATATATATATATATATATTATATATATATATATATATATATATATATATATATATATATATATATGTATATATATATATGGTAGGAGATGGTAGGAGATGACTTGGATAAACCGGACTAACCCAGGAGCCGATAATGGAGCTCGGTCGAGGAGCTGAGGTGAGCTAATGACTACGGCTAATCAGTTTGCGGCCTGCGGTGGCTGAATAAGTTCCCCTTGGCCCAGCTGTGGGGTGTCAATAACCCAATGCAATATATAGCTAAAATAATACAATAATAATATGTATTTTTGACTATATTATTATTATTATTATTATATGTTTTGACTATATTATTTATCTTAACTTACTTACATTATTAAACATAATTATCTTATTTAAATTAACCAGCGACGAATCTACAACAATGTACTGAGACCAATTTCGACATACGGTGCACAACGTAGGAGTTCGGCAAAACATAAAACAAAGTACAAACAACACAATAAAAAATTCTGCTAAAAATTGTTGACGCACCTTGGTATATTTCAAATATATAAATAGTATATATATAATGTACCATATAAATATTATAGGGTAAAAGCACCAAGACAGGAAGGAATGCCGCTGGACACTCCGATCAATGCTACTACTTGTGTTCCTCCGGAAAACAGACTCACTGATTTTCAGTATTTCTGACCAGTGTGGGTGGAAAAATAAAGTTAAAAATAAAAATAAAAAAATGAATACAATTTTTATTTTGACCATTTATAAACGTATTTTTATTTTTTAATTTATCTAAGTATAAATTTCAATATTTTATTTAGGTATTTAAAACAAAAGTAAAATATTCTCAAAAACAATTTATCTCGTCTTGATCCGTCGATTTATGAACTATCTGTACAGTGTAGACGAGGCCGAGAAAAAAATGTGATGAGAAAGAAAGTTCGCCGTCAGCATTAGTTTAAGAACTCTGTATCAAACTATTGTAATTTTTAAGCTTAATGTAGATGATAATGAGTAATCTAATACAGGATACAAATCACGAAAGTATTTTAAAAAGAATCTAACTTGATTTTAGATAAACTCCAGATATACATACCTTATAACCCTCTGAAATATATTATAACTATTATTAATTGTGGGTTGATGATTGACTGTAGTGAATAATGAAGAGAAAGTTGGGGTGATCAGTCAAAATAAAAATGGCCAAAATAAATAATAATTATTTAGTTAAAATAAATATTATTATTTATTTTTGTCATTTTTATTTTAACTGATCACCCCAACTATCATTCTCTTCATTGTAACTTTTAATATTTATTATATTATGATTATTGTTAGAAATTACAGAGATCCAATGAAATTCCGAAAAAAAAACACTATTAGGTAGTTGATAGTGGATAGCTGAGTATTCAAATAAATAAAAATATATAAATGTATAATTACAAATAAAATAAAGTAATTTTTTGATCTATATGAATAATGCTTTATATATACATATAATTCTGAACAATTATAATTTTAGAATTGTTATAAAAAGGTATGAAAACAAAATATATGTTATATTCTAATAAATGAATATTAAGAAGTTAATTAAAAATTATTTTGAGTAAGGTATATATAAGTAAACGAAATATATAAGTACTGTATGTATTAGTACGGCACGAAACTATAAGTAAAATATTATGGTCAGTAAAACATTTGTTTAATTTTAATATGAGAGGAAAATGGATTCTTTGAAAAAAAAAAAAAAAAATGATACATTGAACATGTTTGTAAGTAGTGAAAATAAAATTAATATCTAATGAACGGTATATGCGTGATGTATATTGTGAAGTTATATAAATATTTCTATAATAAAAAATAAACTTTATTCTGGGATGATTTTCCGTTAGAATAACAATAATGAACAGTTACAAAAGAAAAAAAGACATAACTGCCCAAAAACTAAGTTAATAAAGATTTAAACAATATATACAACTACTTAAATAATAGTGTGTAAATTACTAAAAAAAAAAATTGTATAGAAAGTAATGAAAAGAAAAAGGAATAAAGTAACCGATGACAAAATAACGGCGACAAAGTAATGAAATAAAAAAAGTGATGTACAATAAAATTTATAATTTCGAGGAAAATCACTTTATTTCACCCTGACACCTCCACTCCATATTAATTTTCTCGACGACGTTTCAGGCAATTTTGCCCATTTTCAAGTCGAAATATTTACATCATTATCATATCATCTATGTAATAATTATTGTAAACTTTTTCTTCTCCTCACATTCTTCTAATAATAAATTTCATAACTTATCTATGAAAATTCAATTCTGTGGACCGTCAAAAAATTAAACATTTATTTAAAAGTCAAATACAAAGTTGAAATATTGTATTAAAAGGATGAAAGCGTGTAAAATTTTATGTAAATTTCAAAAAATGTTTAATTTTTTGAAGATCCATAGATTTCACTTTTCATAAATAAGTTATGAAATTTATTCTTAGAAGATTGTAAGAAGGGAAAATAATATTAAATAGATGATATGGTAATGATATAAATTATTCGACTTGAAAATGGGCAAAATTGCCTGAAACGTCGTCGAGAAAATTAATATGAATTGAAGAATGGATTAGAGTTCCTCGTTATTAAAATTTTTATTAATATTAAATGCACTTGAAAATTTAGAAGATTTAATAAAAAAGGAAATGTATAATGAAATAACGAAGGAATGAAATAGAATATAACAAGTAATATAAATAAACCGGAAAAATAAGTAGCAAATAAAGATAAATAAGATGTGGTAATCACTATTAGTTGAGGTCGTTATATTTTGATGATGATATGCATAGAAATGCAATATCAGGTATAAGAATTTTATTATATATATATATATATATATATATATATATATATATATATATATATATATATATATATATATATATATATATGTTTTCATGCCTTTTTATAACAATTCTAAAATTATAATTGTTTAGAATTATATGTATATATAAAGCATTATTCATATAGATCACAAAATTACTTTATTTTATTTTTAATTATACATTTATATATTTTTATTTATTTAAATGCTCAGCTATCCACTATCAACTACCTAATAGAAATAGAAATAGAAAAATCATCTTTATTCTGGGACTAGGTCCCTTTAGAATAACAGTATTGTTCATCAACTACAAATCTGGTCAAAAGACTTATTACAATGAGTTTTTTAATACAATGAGTTAAATAGTGTTTATTTTCGGAATTTCATTGGATCTCTGTAATTTCTAACAATAATCATAATATAATAAATATTAATAGTTACAATGAAGAGAATGATAGTTGGGGTGATCAGTTAAAATAAAAATGGCAAAAATAAATAATAATATTTATTTTAACTAAATAATTATTATTTATTTTGGCCATTTTTATTTTGACTGATCACCCCAACTATCTTTCTCTTCATTATTCACTACAGTCAATCATCAACCCACAATTAATAATAGTTACAATATATTTCGGAGGGTTATAAGGTATGTATATCTTCTGGAGTTTATCTAAAATCAAGTTAGATTCTTTTTAAAATACTTTCGTGGTTTGTATCTTGTATTAGATACATATATATGTATATAGATACATATATATATATATATATATATATATATATATATATATATATATATATATATATATATATATACACACACATAGTTTTTTTTACATATTTGTTTTATATCTTTTTATAACAAAATTCTGATAGTTGAAGTAGAATTCTACAAACTGATATTAAAACGAATTAATGCGGTTTCTGGTGTAAGTGTAAAATATTTAAACATCAAAGATTAACCACAAATTGATTGGCACGAAACATAAACCAGTAATGAAGTAGTAACGAATAGAAATATTATTTTATTCATGGTCAATTAATTATACCTTGACCATGTTTATTTATCTCTGTCACTGATCATATGCACTTATGAAGTGTATCAGAAAAACGTAAATAAGTAAATAAAAAATGAGAATTTATTGTTTAATTTCTAATTTGTTTGTTTTATAGATTGGTTTATTTAACATTATAATTATTGAATAATTATTTTTTTTTTCTCAATGAACACCATTTGTTCACTGGACCCATTCATTATAATTATAGGTTAGTAGTTACACAACATGTTTCAGTTGACTTATTGTGACTGTTATATTTTTAGTTTAGATTGCCTCACTAATACCCCGTGGTATAGACACAAAGGTGTATCAAATTATGAACAAAGTCTAAAATTTCTTGAATGGCTTCATCTCATAGTAAACTACAATTTTTTAGAACCTATTTGAATTCTCGGAAATTTTCAATCCCGATATCGGTAAACTTTATATATTTATGAGTTACTAAAGACTAATGAACATACCCGTTTGGTTTCTACTTGAATCATAAGATAACTTGCTCACGAATTCATGAAAAAAATAGGCTTAAAAAAATATGCAGCCTCTTGGCAGGACCTCCTCACCCAACATATTAAAATAATTGAACAAATGGCCCAATATTTTTGAATATCGTTCTATTTTCTTATCAAATTATCAAATTAATTAATTTACAAGATTAAAACAATTACTAACTTTTAGACGGATGATAATAATTTGATAAAAAGGGTTCTTGATCGCGGACTATAAGTTCAAAACGTCGTGATTATTTAAAAAAAAATTCAAAATAAAAATCGTTTGATTTTAATTAAGAATAATTATGTATACATACCAAATAAGTTGTTTCACCAGCACAGGTTTCTGCGTTTATATTTATTATCATTTAAAAAATGTTGCCATTAATAAGTGCATCATAAGATTTAACCACTATTTATTACAAATACAGTTGACATTTTTTTTTTTACATATCACAATATCTTAAATATTTTAACTTATCACAATACACTTGTAATATATACATATTAAGAAGTTTTGATTATAGATCTCACGTTTTTTCTTGTCACAGACATTTCTTAACCAACACTCGGGTGTTTGAAAAATCGCCTGAAATTCGGAATGGCGGTATTGGTAGTATTTGTACTATTTTGATTTGAAGCTATGATTAACTGTTCCACCATCTTTATCAGATCGCTGACGTTTCCAGCAGTTATGGTCGGGATTTTGGTGTTTTGAACGACACTCACTTGATTTCCTGGAGCACTACCTGTTTGTAGATTCCCTCTTTGGGGTTTAAAATCGCTTTTCCCTCCGCGGGGTATCCACGGAGGCCTGGTGCTGAAGTTGGGGATTGCAGAAGGTGCACTGACTGGAATGTGTTGAAAGCTTCTCCAGCTGTCAGCTACGAACTCTGGAGACGTGAAGTCGATCGAAGTCGGTGGAAGAGATGCGATTGCGGTAGGTGGAAAAGCAGCTGCAGTTGTTGGAAGAAGACCGTCTTCCAGTTGGAATCCAGATGCTGTGGGATACAAGTTAGCGAAGGAAGTACTCTGGAACGGGTACGGTTGTTCGACAGGTAGGTCGAAAGGAAATGGTACCTTCTTAAGAGCTGGGTTGTAATACTTCCTGGAAGGTGGCGCTTGGATATTAAGACGAGAACTCTCGACGACTAGACCTGGTGCTGTCTGTCCGACATCTTGAAATTGAGTAGCTTCGAATGGATACAGCGTATTCCTGGTTCCTCGAATTCCTTCTGACACTCTTCTGTTTTGCACTACACGTTTCACTTCTCGAGGAACACTCTTCTTCACTTGAGTTATGGAAGCCGGCCTCCGATCCTTTGCCGAAACTCCGCGGACGCGATCAAAGTACTTGGAGACATCGAAGACTGTTTCACTCAAGACTAGCGCTAGGACACAGCTGACTAGCAGCGCACTGCATTGCCACATGTTTGCGCGGTGAAGGGACCTGTCGTTGCTTTTATCCACTCGCTGCCCCCTCCAGCAGCTGCGACCGTCGCTTTAATAGATAATAAATAAACAAATAATATAAATTTATAAGTAAAAATATCTATTATAAGTACCTATATTATATATACTAATATAATTGTATACTGAAACAATATTTAAATTAAGTATACTCGTATATTTAAAGGAATAAATTAATGAGAGGAATGAATTAATGAAAAAGTACTGTATGTAAGATTCATTACAGAAAAAAATTATCAATATTAAATTAATACAAAAATAATCAATATTAAATTAATACAAAAATATAGAAACAGGTCAAAGAAGTCGTCAGTTTATTCTAAAAGTCACTAGTAAGTTTTTGACGGAGAATAACTTTTAAGAATTTTTTAAAGATTTTTTCTATTATTTACGAAGAAAAAAAACGTAAAGAAATAGAAGGGCACTAAAATGACACAAAAACTTTTATACACGAATTAAAGTACTCATATTAATGATTTAAGGTTATGATATGTCACTCAATGAATGTTTCAATGAATCAAACCGCAGTATTAATAATATTCTTTAAAAAAAAAAAGATAAAAATGTAGAAAAATATGTTGGAAATACTGACAACAGGTGAGTTAAAAAAATAAATATAAATAAAAAATTTTTACATTGAAAATATTTAAAAAAATATAATAACAGATTAATTTTAAAAGATTGCTTTCTATTACATGGTCCAAAATGGTAATACTCGAAGATTAAAGGATGTTTGACTTAGATTGATAAATAGAAAACTTAACTCGGTTTAAAAACTACACAAAAAAAAACACTCAAAAAAATAGAAAATTATGAATATGTAATTGCCTGTTCAAACGGTCCATGTGTTTTTATAACTTTTTTTTCCACTTATGATTTAAGCTTTTACGTTGTTTTCTATAAATAATTCTACCGTTTTTTATTTTATTTTATTTTTTTTCCAAAGAAATAATATTGAAAGCTGGTTGGTACATTTACTATGAACTAAAGGAGTGTTGGCAATATCAAAATCCATAAATGTTTCATCAAAGAATTTTACCACATAGGGTTTTGTCCGTATGAAGATATATGTGTGTAGATATGTATAATAGTATTTGTCACCTCTCATGTGTGATATTCTAAAAGGAATTATTATGTTACAAACAATATACCCAAGAAAAATCAGATGTCAGTATTAATTATATTATTGAAATGTTTAATATTAAAAAAAAAAGGTTTTTCAGTTTAAAAACCTATTTACTTATTGGATTAATTTGCAATTAATTTCTGATAATTGTATAAAATCATAAAGATATAAAAGCTGATATGAACGAATACAAAAAATACAGTAGATACAAAACCGAAAATATTTTTCTTTTCATGTTTTTGACATTTTTTGTTTTATTCGTGTTCAGGCAGAGATGAAGTAGGATGGTTTAAGTGGCGAAAGATTAACAATGTCTATGATGCCAATAGAACGTAATAATAAACCATTATTACACAATGTTTTATTATTAACAAACAATTATATATTAAAAGTAACATACTTTTCTTGAATTAATGAATGAAAAATAATTGTATTCAATCCTTGTAACATAAAGGAAAATAACTAAAAGACGATTCATATTATTGGCCGAAATCTTTTTGTTTCATCATTAGTATTTTGCTAAGAAAAATAGTGAACATTGCTTCAATTAATGTAACTTTAAAAAAAAATAAAAAAAACAAAACAAATAATATAAGTTTTGCAGTAGAACATATAACTTTTTTTCCCAGCTTCTTTTCGCTAATGTAATGTAGGTATATTTAAAGGGCATCGAGGAGAATAATTTAGCCAATTTTCATTAATTAGGCATCCGTTCCGGCGATATAGTCTATTCAACACAAGTATTTCGGCCACCATGTTGAAAGAGAAATACTTTTCGGTGAAGTATGGTCGATACATATATTTAAAAGGCATCGAGAAGAAGACTTTCGATAAATTTCATTGAAATCAGTACATTCGTTTAGGCGCTACAGCCCATACCAATAGAGGTTTTCCAGCCGCAATGTTGAAAAGAATGGGCGGATAGTAATGTCGAGGCAGGAATATTATTCACGGGTGACCACTGAGTCTGATTCCAAATTTGAAAAAAATCGGTCCAGTAGTCTCAGAGAAAATGCGCAGACGGCAGAGGACAAAATTGTTTATTCAATTTTCGAGTTCTACGTATACTAAAATGTAAAACCTCAGATTTTGAGAAGGAGTTAAGTTTTTGAATTTTTGGATAATAATCTAAAAATCTTTAGTTGATTTAAATTATTTTAGTACTAAAAATAAAGGGAAAAAAACATAGTATTATTTAGGTAGCCATGTATGTGTGATTATAGCGCCTCTGATCAGCCTTTACTGGTCCTTAATACCAGCAATGCGGCTGAGTGAGAGGCGATGGGATCTCCTAGAGTCCTGCCTTTCCTCCTTCGAGTGAGAAGAAAGACTTGTCTCGGAGATCTTGGGTGAATGATTTTTTATTTATTCATTTTTTTAGATATTGTATAGAAGCGTGTGTGTAAGTGAGTAGTTGTTTTTATTAGTTTTGTTTATTTTTGTTTGGTTTAGTTTATATACATTTACTTTTAGTATTATTGTTTTTTCTGTATTATTTATTTATATTTATTGTTGAAAGAGGGTGAATGTGCTCTCTGAACACTATTATAAATGTCCTTATTTGTGACAGATTGTAATATCTCTCAATAAAAATAGTTTTAAATAAAAGTATTATTTCGGAGAATATGAATATTTTGACCTATTTTTCAACACCTTTCTTCCTTCTGGATACGCCAATGATAGACTGCATTCATCTCCTGTAATGCATTGCAAGTATGATGTGATGATGCGAATTAAATAAAACTTCCTTGAACTGCATTTCTTCGGTTGTATAAGATAGATGCAGATGCTTATTTTCACAGGTTATGCAACTTTAATGCTAGAGGCAGCTGTGGAAAGTTGTTCCTAAGTAGAGAGGAAAAGAAAAAGAGAAAAAAAGCAAACTAGACTGCAATTATCGACCTTGCAATCTAAATGTCTCATGTACCTATGCCGCAAGTTTAGAAACGATTTTAAAAACAAGATCTCGAAGTTTACGACCAGTTCTTGGGCAACAGTTCAGTCATCGAGGGGGGATATGAAGCTTTGCAACCTGTTCTAACGCTTTGCTATGAGGTCATGGTTGAAATATAACAGATTTTATGATTTAGAATGCCACCTATTAATATTTACGTAGTCGAGCATATTTGAACTTAATCCTATGCGATCAGTGAACACAAAATAAACCATATATATTTCTAGATATATCAATAAGATATGATTGAAAAGTACTATTAGAGTAATAGTCCATGGCACAGCCCCATTTTTATCACATTATTAACATCCGCCGGAAACTTCGTAAATAGTTTCGTCTCATCGTAACCTACAACTCTTTTATTTACGAAAACTCTTGGAATTGGGGCGTTTTCAATCTGGAGGGAGGCAAACTTTGTCTATGTAATTAGGTACTAAAAACTCGTAAATACCCATTTGCTTTCTACTTGGATCGTAAGATAATTTGATAATATAATAGATAAAATAGGTGGCCTACAAAAATATTGTGCCGTATGTCCTATATAACCTCGTTATTTTAAAAATTTGAGGTGTAGGTCATGCCAAACGGCATTTCAAATTTTTCTTTTGGGAACTTTGTTCATACAGTAGTCAATAGAGGGCATTGTTCTTCATTCTAGAAAAAAAACTGCAACCTTTAAATCAACAAGGAAGCTTATTATTTACATTTAAAGTCGAATCTGTCCATCACTGTCCATAATCAGTCAACAAGTCAATCACTGTTCGTTCACCCCAATGTGTCAATTAAATAGTATTATTAAGGTGAAACTTTCTTTTTCAATAGTTTTGATTAATTGTTATCAAGTTTACCAAAAATCTGGTGGATGCATCTTCCATCTTCCATCTTCTGTATACAACTTCCATTCGTTACTCTACATTCAATAAAAATTGAATTTTTAAAATAGTTAATAAACCTTAATAATATTACTTCAATTGCAAATGCTAACATAAGGTAATTAATATAGATCATTATTATTCTGTACACTATATATTACTATATATCACAGTATGAGTGAGTGAAAGTAAAATGATTTTATAATTAACTTATTTTTGAGAATCAATACATGTTATAAATGTATAATACTTCTCATACACACTTTGCAACAATATGTTATCTTAGCTAACTCTTTGAAAGGTTTCGTTCTTACTTATTATTTTTACAGAGAATGTAAATAAAATAGAAAATAAATTAAGCAATAGAAAAACCATAAATAAGGTTAATATATATTTTTTTATTTATTTATTTATTGAGTATTACAACAATCTGTCTCTTGGACATTAGTTATAGTGAGGTAGGAAAACATTCACACTATACATACAAAAAATATAAAATAAATAGTAGCAAAATAATAATCAAAAGTATATACAATAAAAATAATAATAATTTATAATAAAGGATATCATTGTTTGTGTAAATTTTTAAAAATAGGTTATGAGTTAAAAATTCATTAATTATATTGATATTTTACTTTCTCTTACCCATATATACAATATATATTAACGAAAAGTATTGTTAAAGAGTAAAAGTTCGGATCTGTATTTTATAAAACCGAGTATCTCAAAAAGTTATGTGACCATGTTTGTGTGTGTCTGTAAAACCGGTGTTTTTATGTGTGTGAGTATACAGTCTGAAATTCGTATGAAAGTAACATTATGTATTTAAGATTAATATAGGCTTGGAATACCGGTTTGATAAACCAAAAAATATATAATGTACAGAAGTATCATAAATTATACTAATTAGCTTAAGTTTTTATTTATATTTAAAGCAATATTCTTTATGTTTATTAACTTTTTAAAAAAACATTTTTTTCTAGATGTAGGGTATTAAGTAGGAGAAAGT